GCTAAATGCACAGATATTTACCATCTGCAAATTATCTCATCTTTGAAATACTATGTAACTTAAACAGTCTTGAGTTTGGGATCGTTCAATATGTTCTCCACCCTCAAGAATTGACATAATGTTCATTAACTACACTTCAGGCACTAGATTATCTTCAAAATAATTTATGGGGCTTCTCACTTCAACCATATAATATCTATATAATATTTATATTTATATTGCTATATAATTATATGATTTTCCAGATAATTTGCACACCTGTTACATGTATGTTTGACATGTGTAGATGATTGACAATGGTCATAATTTTTCTAATACCCTTACTATCATGTACAGTAAAAATATAATTATATTTTATTAATGTTGTCAATCATATCAATTTTCATATTCAGGAAGCAGATTTGCCAATATTTTCTTTGTTTCTAATTCTAGTGATAACAACAGAGCATTTTTAAGTAGCTAGCACTATTACTCCAAATTCTATGAGAATTACCAGTAGAAAAATGGCACATTTTAAAGAATTCTTTCAAATTGTAGTCAACTTCGTGTTCTATAAAATGAGGACATGACGGCTTCATGTTATGCTTGAGGGGAAGATTTTTATTGTACATATGAAGGAGAGTACAGCTAGAGGTCTTTGGAAGAGCCAAGATCAGGGAGAGAAAGTAGTAGACTAAATAAGGCTAGTCGATTAGACCAGGCCAAGAGATGAGAGGGGAGGACGAAGAGAGGAAGCCAAAAGAGAGGACCAAGAGAGATCATTGCTGAAATGGCTGGGTTATATAGGAATGAGAAGCTTGGGGAGGAAGCCCATGAGTTGGAAAAATTTAAGGGATGTGTGGCATGAGAAGGGCTGAGAAGAGCCACAGGTAGTTGTGATAGTGAAGCCAGTAGGCTAGCATGAGACTTGGTATTTTATTTAATAGGCACCACAAATAGCCATTTGTCCTAAATTTCTTTTGAACCTGACACTCATGAGAATATCTATCCTAAAAATTAAAGTTTACCCATATCATCACCATCATGTATTTTAAATTAGATTATGCATAAATATTGTATCCCTAGTTGGGGTAGAAGATATATGATGCCACAGGACAAATCTATTGCTGAAACATTTTTATTTTTGCTGATTGGACACATTTTGTATATAAACAAGTACAAATATATTGCAAGGCAAAATGCAAAAAGTGCTCATATTTTCAAGAAAAAGCAATTATAGCCCTGTGCTTTGAGAAGTGCCCTGTGGTTATATTCTAAGCACTCTGAGTATATCTCACTATTACAGTTCCTGAATAAAATTAGAGAGACATTTAGCAAATAGCAATAATGTATTCCACTACCCCTTTAGTTGGGTACTGTGAAAAATAGATGTCAGTTTGATATTAGGCTAATTTCCAGTAGGACATAATATATTTGATATCCATATCCTTGAGATTATAAATATATTTACTTAAATTAGTTACTCAGAACCTGTTAAGTATAAATTCATGTGTTTGTTTATAATTCTCATATTGTGGTTTTACACAGAAAAAATCTGTTTGAAGGCATAACTCTAGAACAGGCTGACTTCTACCCTCAGTGCCCTTCATACTGATATCAACCCAATAGCACTGAACAGACTACAAAATGCTCAAGGATAATTTGCTTAATATCCTGTGCTCATCATCAAACTGAAAAATTCAGATATTCCAATGAAGATATAAACAGCTTTTAAAAGTCTAGTTCTTGGTACATCTTATATTCTTTGTTTTTATTACTAATTTTAACATCTATTATATTGTTGATTAGATGTACAGAATTATCTTGTATCTATCATTTATTATACAACTAAAAAAACAAGATTTTTAAAATGTCAATAGAAAACTTACATTAAATAAAATATGCCAAAACACATTAATTCAGAGAACAGGGGAGAGAAACACTTCAATTTCTACGTGTTTTTTTTTCCTAGCATAGAGAAAATTAGCTCATTAAAAATAAAATAGTAAGCCTTGCCAACAGGAATGGATTGGGATATAGTCCCTTAATAGAAACACAGCAAAATGCTTGAATCATCTTAAGTTTTAAAAATGAAAGGTATAGCTCAGATTCTCAAGAAAGTAAAAAAAATAACTTAAAAATAGTTAAATAGGATAATTTTCTTGTAATAAACTCACAAATAAAGACATTACACAACTGGTGATTGAGGGGTAGCTTAGCAGCTGAGAGTGAGAGTACTGCTCATACACATAAAACACAAACTTTAAAAATTGTATTTTTAAATGAAAATGCCCAAATTGATATGAAAACATTCATAGAATGAAGAGCTCTAACAAGACTTCAGGATATACTCTTCCATATTTTGTAATATGTTGGTAAGACTACTGCATTATCCTTGGCATCCTGAGTTTTTCATTTCCAGCTTTGTTTCATTTTGGATTTTATTCAGTGATTCTATTTTTTAGGAAAAATGTATTGTTATGTCATGAATTGTTTTCATTATTTCATTCAACTATTTGTATTCAACTCTTTGTATTTCATGGTCTTCACTAAGGTATTTATTCATATCCTCTTTAAGGACCTTGAATATATTCATAGTTGCTAACTTGAAATTCTTGTTTGGTGCTTCAACGAAACTATTTTTCTCAGGTTCAAATACATGAATGTTGCTGACTGCTGGGGGAGATAGAGTGTCTAGGTTGTTAGTGTTTGCGTTTTTGCACTTGGATCTAGGCACCTGGAGTTATAATTGAGGTATTTCTTGGTGTAGATCTCATCTTGTCTTTATTTAGTGGGATTTTGGAGAGACCAGACCAGAATGGAGGACTGAAAAGAAGATAAATGTCTCCCTGAGACCCAGCCTAGGCGGACTATGGGTACTTGGTATAAGGGGTTCTGACTATTAAAGAACAAGAGTCATACAGAATACCAAATAGAGAAGACCAGAAAAGAAAGACCCCATATCACGTAATAATCAAATCACTAACTGTACAAGCTGATAGAGGGGTATTGAAGTTTTCAACTATCAATATGTAATTTAAGCTGTATTAGTGTTTTCTTTTACAAACTTGGATGTCCCTGTGTTTGGAGCATAGATGTTAAGAATTGAAATGTCATCTTGGTGGATTTTTCCTTTGATGAGTGTGTACTGTCCTTCCTTGTTTCTTTTGATTATTTTCAGTTTGAAGTCTATTTTCTTAGTTATTAAAATGACTATACCAACTTGCTTCTTAGGACTATTTGTTTTGTATTATATTTTTACACAACTTTACTCTGAGGTAATGTCTATTCTTGATGTTGAGATGAATTTCTTGGATGCATCCTTTTTTTGTATCAATTCTGTTAGTCTGTGTCATTTTTTCTTTCTTCTTGAAAATAGATTTTTCTCTAATCCAGTACATTCCAACCACAGTTTCCCCTCTCTTCACTCCTGGCTCCCCCCACATACTCTCCCCCAAACTCATTCCCCATCTGCTTCACTTTCAGAAGAGAGCAGGCCTCCAAAAGACAACAGCTAAATAGAACAAAACAAGATATAATAAAGACAAGTTGAAAGAGGACTTGAGACCATTGATACTGAGATATATCAATGACCAATGATTACTGACTCCTGCTATTTTAATGGTGGTGGTGGTGGTGTGTGTGTGTGTGTGTGTGTGTGTGTGTGTGTGTGTGTGAGAGAGAGAGAGAGAGAGAGAGAGAGAGAGAGAGAGAGCGCTTCTGATTTTGCTGATATGAGATTATTTATTGCCTGTGTTTTCCTGACTGTAGGTAACATCCTTGAGTTTTCCTTCTAGTGCCTTCTATAGGGATAGATTTGTGGATAGATATTGTTTAAACTTGACTTTCTCATGAAAATGCTTGTTTTCTCCATCTATGGTGATTGAAAGTTTTGCTAGGTATAGTAGTTTTGGCTGGCCTTTGTGGTCTCTTTGAGTCTGCAGCACATCTGTACAGGCTCTTCTGAATTTTAGAGTCTCCATTGAGAAGTGTAATTCTAATAGGTCTGCCTTTATGTGTTTCTTGGTCTTTTTCCATTGCTGCTTTAAATGATCTGTCTTTGTTTTGAATGTTTTGTGTTTTATTATGTGGCAAGGAAGTTTTCGTTTCTGGTCCAATCTATTTGGTTTGCTATTTGCTTCTTGTACCTTTATAGGCATCTCCTTCTTTAGGATAGGAAAATTTTCTTTTGGGATTTTGATAAAAAAATTTTTCTGGGCCTTTGTGCTGAGATTCTTCTCCTTCCTCTATACCTATTATTCTTAGGTTTGGTCTTTTCACAGAGAGCCAGATTACCTAGATGTTTTGTGTCAGGAGTTTTTAGATTCTCTCTTACATCTCTTCTAGTCTGCTGATGAAGCTTGGAGTTCCTGTTTGTGTTCCTAAATTTTTCATTTACAGAACTCCCTAAGTTTGATATTTCTGTATTGATTCTATTTCCAAATTCAGGTCTTGAACAGTTTTATTTATCCTTGCACTGTTTGTATTTTCCTGGATTTCTTTAAGAGATTTATTAATTTCCTCTTTGAGGACCTCTATCATATTCATAAAAGCTGATTTAAGGTCTTTTTCTTGTGCTTCAACTATGGTGGCCTGCTCTGGTAGTGTAGTTGAACTCTAGTGGGCATATATGCTTTGTTGGCTGTTGCTGGATTTGGGATAATTAAATGTGTAGGTGCTGATTTCTGGGTTTGTCTTTGTTAGGTGGGTATTTTGTTCTTTGGTTTCTGTTTCCTCTCTGGGTTTTCAGATAGTTTGATGGCTGTGTTGCTGTTTTATTTGTTGTTGTTGTTGTTGTTGTTGTTGTTGTTGTTGTTGTTTTGTGTGTCTCTGTGTGTGTGTGTGTGTGTGTATGTTTGTGTTTGTCTATTCAGCTGGTGTGCTCATGAGTAATGCCTGCTAATGTTGCAGGTTGGGTAATTGAGATGAGTTGGCTGAAGGAAGTTTGGAGGACTAGGTCTTTGTGATCCCTTGGGGATGAGGTCACAGAGGAAAGGGAGACCCCAGCAGGTTTCCAACTACAGAGCTAGGGATGAAACTGAAGGATTGGGCCTCAGGAGCAGTAGGAGAGCTGTGAGTCTGCCTTCATTCTACTTGTTGCCATGGGAGGTGAGGCTCTTGGTTTAGTAGGGGTACCTGCTGTAGTTGGGGCTTAGGATACAGCGGAGTAGGGGGAGTGAGATTAGGAGGTTGTGGCCTTGGGGATCCACATGACATGTGGGTGGTGGTAAGGAAGGCTGCAGTTGGTGTTCAGGTGCAGTGCCAAGGTGAAGACTGGATGATTGTGTCTTGGGAGAGAGAGAGAGGAGAAGATCTGAGGGCACTATACCTGGTTTTCTGGCAGTTGTGGTTTAGCAGTTTGTGCATGCTGGAGTTGGGAGCTGGGATACAGTGACAAGTAGGAGTGAGTTTAGCAGGGGATGGCCTCTGGGGTCCACAGCAGATGTTGGTAGAGGAGGAGAAGGAAGGCTGCAGCTGATGTTCTGTTGCACTGCTGGGGATGAGACGGATGATTGTGTCTGGGGGAACAGAGAGGAGAAGGTCTGTGGGCAATCTACCTTGTTTTCTGGCATACATACGTTCTGTGGTGAAGGGAAAAATGCTAAGCCTAAAATAAAAGACTGTAGATGTAACCAACCGTCTTATTAAATAAGAAACACAGAAACAATGTAAAAGAGAGAGCCGAGAAGTCAGAGCTCAGAGCTAAAATCTCA